CCCGCCTCGGGAGCAATTGGGCGAAACGGGTCTTACCGGGCCCGGGTTACCCTCGCCACCCCAGTGATACCGAAGGAAAGTCACTACCCAACGATCTGAAAACACATTTAAACTCCGACAACAGGCGCTAACAGCCTAACGGTCACCGGGACTCACGGAACTGCTGAAAAGGGGGTCGTGCCCCACGCCGCCACAGGGCAGCAGGGACGGGCAGGGTGGGCACCACGCACCGAGCGGGCAGGATGCGCTTCTTCCTCGTGACGGCAAAATTACGCACCGCCGTACACAGACTTGGGCACTTCTGGGCTTTGAAGTAACTGTAAAAGGCAAGAAAAATGGATTAAAAATTCCTGCAATTTCTTGAACTAATTAGCAAGAGCTATTTGAAGAATGCATTTGAAAAGCAGCCCAAATTATTAGAAAGACCCCACTGTGTGTAAAATAGGTGAGCATCTAGTACTGTGCAGCAGCCTGGACCACCTCCTATTTACTTGTTCTCCAAAAGAATAAGAATCCTTTGAAAAAACCCCAAACTCCTTATTGCCAGGCAATTCATACAGTTTATCATGTGATTATTGAGACTGACACCTGCACCAAGCAGTGAGGCACTGTCGGTTCCTGCCAGGGAGCACAGGGTAGGCAGCAGGTAGGTCAGCACACCCTGGGGTTGAAAACTGCGTGGTGTCAGCTCTGCAAAAGCACTGCGGGCTGCGATCACACAAGGACTCAAAGAAGTCACCATGAGTAGCCACCTCTGCCCATTCCACGCTTAGAAAGGAGGATCTGCTGGATCAACTGGGAGATGCTGGAAGAAATCCTTCCCGCTAATGAGGCGCTGAGGGGTGGGAGTAATCAGTGCAGCTCTGCAAAGATGGGTTGCGCGGCTCCACCGGCGCATTCCCACAGAGAGGTGGTCCCCGTTCCCCTTCTGCGGCTGTCAGGTTTCGCTGAGTCAGCTCACCGAGCCAGCAGAAACCCAGCTCCCACAAAGCAATGACGGGTAAGGCAAAAGATAAACTGAGCCCAGGAAGGAGTTGGTGAACTGCACGACTGGTACAAGCCCTTTGGTGGCCAAGAGTTTAATCCCGAAGTGGCTTAGGGTATCTGACTACACCTCAGGAGAGGTCCTGCCAGATCAAAGAAACAGCCACCCTCTCATTTTTCATCCATGCCCCCTCTGAAAGCTGCACAGAGACCACTTGTCCCATGCTGCCCTCTTGGGTTTCATCTGGCCACACCAACTGCAACACAACACACCAGACTTTCATTATTTGTCCATCCTTGCTGCCACAGGCCCTTTCCACATCTTTCCCCCAAACCTTTTTCCTGTCATCCTGAATGCACTTAATGACAAACATCAGGACTGCCAGACAGATCCATCTCTCTGGGGCCAAGTGTAGGCACTAAAGGAAGAGTGTCAGAACAGGGCAAGCGTATCAGCCTAGCGTACTCCCACAGCCTCCAACAATTTACATCTCGGGGAATTCCTGAGCTAGAAGAGATGTCTTTAACAGCCCTCAGTGGATTTTTCTTCCATTATTTCTTCAGTCACATTTTAAACCTAAAACCTGTTAGCATCAGTGGGAAGAAAATGCATGGTTTTATAAGAACAAGCATCTACAACGTGTTTTGTCAAAGCTATTACTTGCATTTGTATCAAATTAAATCGGATTTTATTCTTGTATGTTTCCTTGAGGGCAGCTATGAAGCTTTTAGCATTTTCCAATTGACTTTATCAGGTCTCAAGAACTCGGGGTTTGTTTCTTCTTTGCAGCATGGGAATTGTAGTCTTTGTGCTTCGGGCTTCATTTCGTTGTGAACTACATTTCCCAGAAAACTTCTCTCCCAGCAGGCCAGCCCTTTCCTTCCGCAGTCGGGCACGGCAGTATCATGAAAGGTAAGTTTTCAGGCATTATTCACCATATCACACTGACTTCGTTACATGTGTTCGTTCGGCTGTTACCTCCCTCCCGCTCTCCCGCTCCCCCCGGTCATTATTACGGCAAAAGAGACGCGGATGACGTGGGTGTCCTGAATTTCTGGCCTGGAACCTTTTGTAGAAACCCGTTTATCCTCTACCTTACACTTGCCTGATCTCTTTCTGTGGAGCATCTCGGGTGCGTGTTAAAAACAAACTCTAGCCTCACATCACGATAGGTATGTTTAAAGAGTTTCACTTACGTACAGTACTTGTTATTTTTTTAATCAGAGCACTTTCATTTTAGAAGCAGCTTTGCATTTCACAGGAAATATTCTGTCCTTTATAAGTTTCTCTCCTACACTGTCCTACTTCTATGCTTCACAGCAGCTCTCAAATGTATCTGTTATTTTGGCTGCTGGGCCTACCATTGCCTTCTCTCTCTTGTGGGCCAACCTATATTATATCTCCATTTCATTCCCCCACAGAGCATTTCCTTCTGAGAGCTTTTGATGATAAGGGACAGGAATGGAGAATTTTCATCAGTTAAAGCAATTTAAACACTGTCAGACTGGCTTAACAGCCTTTGGGGAGCATCACGATAGAAGTTATTCTCAAAGCAAATTACAGTTTCTTGGGAGACTTTGTCCCTTCTAATTAATTCATATTGAAAATTAAACCTCTCCAGATGGTATGCCCAACACAACTCCTGCTAAACAATGAAACAAGGCAAAAATCATTGTGAACAGAACCCACTGCTTCGATTTAAAAAAATAATTCAGGACTATGGAGGAAGTCCAATCTTCTCTGTAATTCAACTGATGAAGCAAAGCCTTGACAACTGGAAATTAACGGAGACAAATCTACTCTTTGCCACTAGCATCAATTTAGTATCATGATACTTACAGCTGAACACCCAAACTTTAAATGTATTTAAATATTGCCCCATTTACTGTAAGATCTAGTACTTGAGGGGGACCAGGGACTTGAGGCAAAGCAATTCAGATGCAGCAGCAGTCTAAAATCCATCCAGGCACTGAAGCCTGGTCATCAAAAGTACTTAGGAGCCAGCCTTTTAGACAAGTAAGCTCACCACTTGAATACCTCTGACTTTCTCAGAGCTGCCACAGATCTCACAGGCACTGCAAGTTTCATTGAGGAAACTGCCCATGTGCTTTAGCCATTTGACAGCTAACAAGTTGCAGAGCCCTCCTTCAAACCACTGCCTGAAACACCCGAAAGGGATCTGTTCTAGCTGGCTGAGAACTCCCAGTGAGACCCAGTCCCTTAGGTGTCCTCCCAGTAATGTGTGATGGGGAGGGCAGAAGTGTGAGTGGGCATGAATCTGCACCTAGGTGTCCCACATTACCAAGTAAGCTGTAAGCACCAGACTATCTGGGGCTTGTTGCAATCACTCTTTAGAGACCATCTGCTTTTATCAGTAATTAAAGTCCATCCTCCATCTTCTGGATCTCATACAAGCCCCCTTGCCAAGGGAGATGGTGGGAGGGAGAAATCCAGTCACTCAATTCTCAGTGCCATTTCTTTCAAAGTTTTTTGTACGTTGTATGCAAAACCATAGAGAGGCCTAGAAAAAAATAGTTTTGAAATAGTGAAATAGAGAAAGGACAACTACAGACTGCTAGAAAGACCAAACAAAATCAAGGTCCAAACCAATCTCCTGTCACAACAAGTCCTGCACACGATTCCAGGCTACTTGTCAGCAAAGCCATCCTGCCTGTCCGCAACAGGGCATGCCGTTCCTCCCTTAAAGCAGGATATCCCTCCCATTCCTACCTGCCAAGCAGTTGTTTGTGCCCCCCACACTTTTGAGTGATTTCTTCTCAGCAAAGCCCCCTGTTCCTGCTGGGGAAGCAAAGCAGTACCCTCCACCTCTCCACTGACTCTGGGGAGGTGGCACCCACAAGGAGGAGGTGCCAGAGGCATTTAGGCAGTGTCCTAATCATCTTTGGTCCCACTTCAAGGCCTGTTCTGCACCAGGCCTTTATAAAAAATACTCCAGTCAAGGTCTTTGTCCTGAAAAAGCAACATTTCAAGGTTGTTTTTCTTTCCCTTCCCACAACACGTGCAAAGGATGGGCTAAATAGAAAGGACTGATTTGGAGCTGGCAGAAAGTTAAAGAAAGCAGAGCAAGGGTCTCTTTTTTGGGGAGGAACCAGCCAGCCAGTGCCTCTGGGATGGTGTGCTTGGCCTTCTCTGCCCTCTTGCACATACCTGGGAAAGACTTTGCATGCTCAGGTCTTTCTGTGCTCTTTACAAGGCCTCTTAGGCAACCATCCTTCACACCAGGATAGAAGAACAGGAATCCTGCAAGGCAGAGGTGCTTTGTCCTTGTACCTTCAGCAGTCCTCAGTGTTGCCCTCTGTCGAAGTGACATATGAACGCTGTCCTCAGATGGCGGGCTTTAGTTAATATTTCCAAAATAATTTGTGTTTCTTCACTAAACAGAAGAAAGAGCAAAGAATAGTTATCAGCATCAATTTCCAGAGAATCCCAAGAAAATGGACATGCTCTTTGCTTTCTTTGACACCTGCCGTGTGTTCTGTTCTTGGCTTTTAGCTGAACATGTTCTCTACCAAGAAGTTGTCTGGAGTTTGCAGAGCCATCAGATTCCATCATTTCAGATCCCATTCTGTATCCAGAACCTCTCCAAACTTGGCTTTCGTGCCAGCCTGTCTTCCCCCAGATCCCGTTGAAGTAGAGGAGCTGCAGCGCTTTGTTTCTAACGCCAAGAGGCTGTTTGTAATGACTGGAGCTGGAATCTCGACTGAATCGGGGATCCCAGATTACCGCTCTGAAGGTATTGGGCTCTACAGCAGGACAGACAGACGGCCCATCCAGCATGCTGAGTTCATTCGTAGTGCCAGTGCCCGGCAGCGGTACTGGGCAAGGAATTTTGTGGGCTGGCCTCAGTTCTCCTCCCACCAACCAAACACAGCACACCTGGTACTAAGAGACTGGGAGAAGCTGGGGAAGCTGCACTGGCTGGTGACCCAGAATGTGGATGCCCTTCACACCAAAGCCGGGAGCCAGCGCATGACAGAATTGCACGGCTGCATGCACAGGTACTCTGTCAGCAGAGGGAGGATGGTTAATCATCCAGTTTCTCATTAAGGGTGACTGACAAACAGGTACAATGTTAGCTGCTGAGAAAGGAGGCAAAATGTTGATGCTATGTTCCTGGAAATGACATGCTAAAAGGTGGTGTTGGGCTGGGGTGGAGAAAAAGATCACAAAACAGTGCTGTTCACAGCACAGTATTTAAGAAGCACTAACACCACTCCATTTTTTTGGAGCATTATTTGGATCATTTCCCTTGGAGCCTGCATCAGTCAGAATCTCCCCTTTCCTTGCTACAGCAATTGTCCTCTTAGTGAAGAGGACAAGGGGATCCTGAGAATGCAAGGACTACCCAGGGCTAAGCAGAGTGAGTAGTGCCAGAAATGCATAAGATGAGTGGACTGGAGAGGGGCCACCACAGTCTGGCTGTTATCACCCAAAGTTTCCAGATGAAAAAGCACAGCCTGAACTGGGAGAGAAGATGCACAGTAGGGTTCAAAGCACTTCCTCTAGAGCATTCCTACAAAGCAACAACTAGAGGTAGAAAGACAGCTCCTTGACCTGTACTATTTGGTAAATAATTGTGGATAATGACAACAGATCTTCCAGGCCTAAGGAACAAATTACAGACTCCAGATCTTCAGCTAACGTGAAACTCTCCATTAAGACTTTGCTGTGAATTTCAGGGTTTTCTGCCTGGCCTGCGGAAACCAAATCTTGCGCTCTGAGCTTCAGAAGCACTTTGAAGCTCTGAATCCTACCTGGAAAGCTGAAGCATTCGGTGTGGCTCCGGATGGGGATGTCTTCCTGACAGATGAGCAGGTGTGTAATTTCCAAGTCCCAGCCTGCCATAGATGTGGAGGAATCCTGAAGCCCGACGTGACATTCTTTGGAGACACAGTGAGTCGTGAAAAAGTGAATTTTGTGCACCAACGCCTGGCGGAATCAGACTCCATGCTGGTGGCAGGATCCTCTATGCAGGTAAGTAGGTCTTCTCCCCGCGCTGCATTCCTATTTCTGTGCTGCTCTGCCTGTAACAATTCTTGGTCTCACAGTTTAGGACTATTAATGCTTGTGGATCAAAACAGCCTCTCCAGAGCTTTGTATTTTATTTTTATTGTGGTTGGAATCTGGCTTCACAGTTGGCCTGTTTGGGCTTCCTTGTCACTCTGTTGCCAGTCTACTTCATGCTGCAATAAATAACTCCATTCACACATTCAGACCTCTCTCTGCTACCTCCTCCATCAGTACACTGGAGGTTCACGGTTGCCCATAAAGCCAACATACCTGATACAATTCAGTCCTGCAGAGATCACCACCCCACATTTTTTTTGTTTGATTTTTTTTTTAGCCTTTCACAGCTTTCTAGGCCTCATGGCACACTGTGTGAAATACCAGATTTTAGGACCTCTAATTCCTAATTAAATACTCAGTAACAGAACAGAAATATCTCTGCTTGCTCCTTACAGTTGTCCTTTGTATCACAATGTGTTTTCTTCATTAGCCACTTATCTATAAGGTAAGGCAGTCTAGAAACCCCTGTTGTTTAACCCATGAAAGCTTTTGGAATAGAGTTTGTGTAAGAGACATTTTTCTAGGAACAAGTTCTATTACATTAAAAAAAACTTTCTCTAACGCCTCCCAGAACGAGATAAAACCAAGGCTGCCTGATTGTGATTCTCTTGGCTTCAGGAAACTGGAGACAAATTCCTTGAGCTTGCACTTCTTAAGCTTATAATCCTTTGTACAGGAATGATTGAAATGCCTTAGGTTCATTCTTGTACTACCTAAGCTGGGCCATGTGAGAACCATCAAAGTAGAAGCATTTAAGTACCTATGATAACTAATAAAAACTGCTGCAGAGATGTGCTAAAAGACAAGGACATTTCCTTTCAATGTACTATGAAGTTTCAGTTTCTATGAAACTGCAAATCCTTCATTGACAGAGGTTAAAAGCTGTTCTTTTCTGTGCATTCCTGAATGAAGACATTTCCAACCTGAATTCAGTGCAGTTGCCTAACACAGCATGTACATACAGCCCCTTTTCCCACTGCCATCAGCAACTACTTTACTTTCCTTACTCCTTTCTGTAGCTCTTCTTTTGCCTAAGCTGCCAGTAATTTTGTTTTCTGGCATTCCT